TCATGCTAGGTTGATCTGAAATGATGATTTAAAGCAGCGCGTTAAAAGAAAGTTGAAGCGCCCCACCCTGGTTAACCTTTGCAACAGTCAAACACAGAAAATTCAACTGCAATAAAGTATACTGCAAAATAAATGCTCTCTTTTGAAGTGTAACAGTTTAATTTTTGCTATGTAACATAATTAAACATTGCCCTCAATATGTAAAAAAATCCATAGAAAACTCCAAATTGCCAGAATTGGTCATGGTTTCAGTCCCTTTTCACCATGTGTCCTCACCACAGGAACCTGGTTTAAAGGAAAAGTCCAGTCACGTTCAGAATTCAAACTGGTATTTTCACGACTATAAGGCGCATAAAAACGTCTTTTTTTCTCCTCAAAATGTACGGCGCGCCCTTTGGTGCGGTTCGCCCTATGTGTGTTGTTACTGCAGACGTTGTTGAGACCTCCATGAGAACGTTAAAGGGGGAAGTGTGGGAGTATGTAAAGAAGTATGTAAGGTGAAACAAATGAACGTTGTGCTTGCTGTTATTCCGGGAGGTCTGACAAAGGAATTTCAACCGCTCGACATCGGTGTGAACCGGCCATTCAAAGTAAGGCTGCGAGCGGCGTGGGAGCGATGGATGACTGACGGAGACCACAGTTTCAAGAAAAGTGGAAGGCGGAGCCGGGCAAGTTAAGCCACAGTTTGCGGATGGATTGTTGATGCTTGGACTAACGTGTCTGCTGGCTGTGTTGTTCGAGCTTTCGCAAAAGCGGCATAATTTCCGAGGAGCCGCACGTATTCGTTTTAGGTGTAAATAATGATCCATTTATCATTCCTTTAAATGTTTTCATGCTACATCGTTCGTTCAGATCAGGTGTTGTCAACAGATTTTACAGACTGCATAGCTGTTTAACGTGTGACCATATAGTCTACAGTTCTGTTAAATTGTTTCCTTAAATCGTGCTCAAAAAACACAGATAATAGAGACGATAGAGACATTATGACAGATTAGAGACGTACCAGCTGCAGACCTACCCAAACATCTCCCTTTAATCTCCCTGTTATGTATCCAGTATGGCCTACAGGCCATAAACACGTCGAACAGATTGGAAAAAAAAACCTTCTTCAGTCATCTTCCTTCTGTTTTATTTGTTCATTCTGTAGTATTTGTACAGTCAGGAGGCAGAATCAGGTCATACGTCTCCAGACTATAAATTTAGGGATGAGTGCTCAGATTTTGGCACCTTGGTGACATTATTATGAGACCCCAGAGGGTTTGCTAAAGACAAGCACCAAGACAAAGCCAACGGCTGAAACGGAGAGCACGGTTTTCGGCGGAGCGTTGACCGTTGTAATTGTCATGCTTCGCTTCCCACCGGGCCCCAGGGACACACACACCAGGGAAGACGTGCAAAGAAAGTAAGAGGGGTTGTCGAAACTTTATGCCACTACCATATAAATCAGTAAAATGAGGTTGTTCCAGCCTGAGTTGTTACAGCGCAGAATTAATGTGACCCTGGAGAGCAGAACGAAGCCCAGAATCAACATGTAGTTGATGGCTGGTCTCCTACCTCACACTGAGCTCTGCAGGTCACTCTGCTTCTCCTTGAGCTCAGAGCAGATCAAAGAGGTGGTGATTTCTGGATCTGTTGGAGATCTGCTGGTTGGTTCCGAAATCAGGTGTTTAATGTATCAGAGAACAGGTGTCTGATTCAGGGTACTCCTTTTTATTCTGTTGATATTTCCCAGCTGATCTGTATGATGGGACACACGTGTTCAGAGATATGTTTGTTTTTTTAAAGAAAGAGCGTCATTATGCCAGCCTCACACTGGGTGTCGCAAGGAAACCAAATCATTCAAATCAGTGCAGTTATAGAGGCATCATGGCCGCATGGCTCATCAGAACACAAGAAGGACGTTTTTCTGGACGTCAGATCAAGAGCAAGCTCCTGAATTCCACAAGTGAAAGTCCCACAGACAGGAAAGAGTTAAATAGATTCCAGAATAAAATCAACCCACCAACATAGACTATATAAAAAAGGACATTTATGGACTCTGATAACGAGTTTTCCCCTAAAACTCCTGGAAAGAATGCAAACACTTGTGGACTTCCTTCCTCCACAGCTCTGTTTCCACAGCTGGAGCCGCAGCCGGGCCAGGCTGGCCCAGCAGCAGTGTGAATCCTGCACTGGATCAGGACCGAAACCAGCATAAACAGTGTGAGCCCGGCTTCAGAAAATGTTTTTGGATTTAAAAGTTTAGAATATTTCTTTCAGGTATAGTAAAGAGGGACAAAAAACACATTACAATAAATAAAACATGCAATGACACTGTTCAGGAAAAACTCAACATATTTAAAGAGTTTGTTTTTCTCTGAAGCAGAGGTCACGGGTTAGCGGACCAGGGTCTGGATCTGGACCCACCTGCTGGCTAATCCGGACCCAACCTCATTTAAAACATTTATAAATTACCGCACTTAATCCAATGACAGTGTCTAACTTCATTTGCGCTGCTTCTTCTGTTAATACGGTAAAGTGCTCCAGAGCGTTTGGCTCCAGGCTGCACGTAAAATTAACCAATGAGCTGCTGTGAGTCTGGGTTGCTGCTGCTGCTACTTTTAGACACAGCAGGCAAACCTGTGGAAAGCCGGGCGATGGGAAAGAAGGAGAAGATGATGAGAAAAAGAGAGCAGAGAAAGTGTGGACTGCTGGAAGAACTGCGGTGAACTGGTGAAAGAAAAGTGAAATGGCGTGCTCAAAGATGACCCTGCACATTTAGAGGATGTTTGGCTCAACCTGCTGCTGTGAAGCAGGATTCTCCACCATGAACAGAATCAACAATAAATATGGATCCAGGCTCAAAATGACTAGCCTCGTGAGACCATCCTGATCTCGCGAGCTTACAAGGTTTCACTTGCAGATCAGTCTGGAGACTCTCTGTTTAAGAAAATTTGGAGCCGTTCACCAAACGAACGTCCAATCAGCGTTGGCTTTGAGGCGGGTTGAGGTGTGACGCAACGAGAAGCGCGACAGTTCAGTCTAAAGAACATGGCGGCTTCAGCCGATGAAACTAGCGTTAGCGTGGCTATCGAGCAAGTTTTATCGGAATTACAGAGTATTTCTTCACTGAAAGAAGAGCAAAACACTGCTCTGGAGGCTTTTCTCAGAGGAAAATATGTTTTTGCTCTTCTCCCGACTGGTTTTGGCAAGAGTTTGATCTATCAATTGGCTTGTGCCTGGCTTGTGGTTGTGTTTTTTCGTCGCTCTGTTAGTACGTCATATGCTCCGTTGATCTGATTGGTTTATTTGGCCCGTCTATCATCAACATAGGCCAATCAGCTAACCAGTATTTTCGCCCCTTCCCAAAATTACTTAAACGGAAGGTTTCCAGATGGATATGTGGAGCAAATCCATCTGGCGGAGTCAGGTTACAAAATGAGCCCCTTGATATGTGCTTTAAAATGGCTTTGTCTCCATTTAAACCCAGGTTTAAACCTTGCAGGGCAGCATAAAGCCCACTGCTCTCGTTAAGACAGAAAAAAAGAAAGAAAAAACAAATTGTCAGTTCGGGTGTTTTAAAAATATATGAATCAGGAAATTGTCTTTATATCAAACTGAAACATTTGTTCTCTACTTGAAAAAATCTTCAATTTTTTTATATTCTTTTATTAAAAATTCAATGTATAACATGGATGGATAAACACCTCATTTTATATCAGTATTAATTCTGTTCAAAGTAACAGATTATAATTAAAGATGTCTCTGTACCTTTACTAGTTATCAATTTTCTTAATTCGGACCCTGCTGATTTATAATTGGATACCCCTGCTCTAAAAGGTAGACAGATGCAGCTATGTATCTGCCTTTATGTTAAAGAAAATAAATAAAAAATTGATTATCAGGAAGAAGAATTTCACTTTCTTTGTTGAACTAAAGAGAAACTGTATCGATTCCAACAGAACAATCATATGAGGGAGGAACAAAATGAGGGTGATGAAGGCCTTTGAGAGACAGGAAGGAAATAGTGAGGGGTGTGTTTGGGGTAAAGGATGGCTCCAAGGTGCAAAAGGATCAAATAAACTCTGGTTTGCATTGGCAATAAAATGGATTAAAGTTTCATTTCTTTGCTCATCCGCAAAAGGACAGGTGCTCAGGCCACCTCTGGATGCTGCACCGTTCATAGCACTCACATTCTCAGCAGCTTGATGTTCCTGGATATCGTTGATCTGTGGAGATGCATGGCTGTGCTCTGGAGAGGAGAGGGAGGAATCAACAGAAGGTAGAAGGTGGAACTGAAATATGAGGTCATATGAAAGGAGGACAGATTTAAACACCTATATTTAAAACAGAGGGGCATTGCATCCTAAAGCCTTCACCCTTATGTTCTGTTGAGTTCTCGTCATTTCTTCTCCTAATTCCCTCAGAAAGCTTCCCTACGTAGGAGCTGGGACAGAGCATGGTGCTGTAGGGATCATTGGTTGTGGCGCCCCCTAAAGGAAAAGTAAACATATAAGACATATAAAATCTTTCTAACTCCAGGTCTATTTATTTAGAAGATGATCTTAAAAAGAAGTGAGGGCTGTTTTTATTTAGAATGTTGTCCATATAGTGAGGCAGGGGGATGCCTGAACAGAAAATCCCATCATTCGATGATCAGGCTTCGTCTTTAACTACAGAAAGTTTAGGAAAATAACTTCATACCTTAGTGGATCAGTATTTTGATTAAAACGGTTTTTCCAAGTTCCCAATCTAATTCTCCTTCCTTTTCTCTCATATTTTCATTCTCTTCTCAGACAAAGATGAGGAAATGTTTTCCATCCCAACAGAGAACTTGGCAGTTCTCTGTTTTTATTTGCATTTACAGAAAGATCAGAAAATGTGATGATGGAGCCTAAAAATAGAGGAGATCTTCTACAGCTTTGCACTGTTACCCTCACATCATCCCCACCAAGACAAGAGTCTTATTCTGTGATATGGGAATCTGGCCACCAGATCAATACATGTTCTGTATCATGCAGGTTTTGGACTGGATAGAAAACCATGGCGAGGCCTTCCTCAGCAAACACACAGGGGTTGGAAAATCCCTCCATCGAGCCCGAGCCCTGCAGAAAAGGCACGATGACTTTGAAGACGTAGCCCAGGTGAGTCTCTCTGCCTTCTACTGCAACAGGTAGTTTAGTGGCTGTGATGAAGTATTCTCCTCCTTAAAGATTAAGGTTTCTGACAAAAAGAGATCTTCAAAAAAAATAAGCATTTTTCCATTTTTATGGATTACTTTTTATTTTTATTTTTTTTATATTTGCACTTTTTATTGAAAATATTTTTTCCCATACAAGTATACATACCGATTTTACAGTTTTTTTTTTCTTTCCAAACACAACATCCAACAGAATCTGCACATATATTCTGTACATGTATTGAACTGTAAGCAAACTATTTGCAGTCTGTAACTCTATAAGGGTACCCAAACCCTCACTATTAACCAACAAAGTCTGATCTCCATGGTGAAATAAAACCTTGCCAATTTTCCCAATAATTTTTACATTTTCCAGATTCAAATCTAATAGAAAAATTCAGCCTTTCCATAATGTAAATATTATACATTATGTCAACCCAATCTTAGATGGATTACTTTTTAATAAGCGGACCTGAACCAATGTGAAAAAGTTATGAATTATGAAATAAGAACTATTCAGCCAAACATTTAGTCAAATAACACAAGGTGCCTGATAAACGACTCATTTAGCCAACCTTTAGTTTTTCACCATGAGCTCAATAGGGATACACCACAATTCAATTTATTTATTAATCTATTTATATAACTGTGGCTTCAATTCACAACACATCATCCCGAGTTTATCTGTTGTCATTGACTCTTCAGTAACCCTCACCCCAAGCATGCATGCAGCGACAGTAGAGAGGAAAACTCCCTTTTAAGAGGAAGAAACCTCCATCAGAACCAGGCTCAGTGTGAGTGGTCATCTGCCATAGGCAACTGGGATTCTAAGGAACATAGGCACTGATCCAGACAATTTTCTTCTCAAAAAGAAAAAAATGGTTATGTTTAGGAGAGAAACAGGTCTACACAGTGAAAAATTTTTGGCAGCAGGTTTAGCTGGTGACTCCCTCCAAGCATAGTGTCCCGGATAAACAGAAACAAGCTAGTATTGCAACAACAAGAAGAAAAAAACATAAAGTTATAAGCTAAACTAACAAACAATACAGAATTGAAAAACAGAAGGATATTTTAGCATGAAGAGAGCAACAATAGAATCGAAGTATAACCAGAGCCACTCTACCTATAAGCTTTGTCAAAAAGAAATGTTTAATTTTACCCTTTAAAGTAGACAGGGTGTCTGCCTCATGGCCTAAAACAGGTGAGGAGCCAGCTGCTGTGAAATGTTTCATCTGGCTAGTGAAAGATGTATGTCCTTGATGGACTGAAGCTGTTTTTCTTGGGAGTAACCAATGGTCGTGTAAGAAGGTTCTATATATGCAGGGGTGAAAAACCACCCCAGCAGAGCCTCACTGACAGTTATACTGGAAGTTTTGTCTCTCTCTTTCTGCAGACGTAAAAATAAATGTGTTATTTCTCACACAGTGTGTCTCAGTTCTCTACTACTCCACATTAGAGATTGATGAAAGGCATCCCTATGTCCTCCAACAGTCTAAACTTATAGCAGCATAACTATTGAGATAGCTCCAGTAAACCTAAACCACTCTAACTATAGGCTTTATGAAAAAGGAAAGGTTTAAGCCTTGCCTTAAAAATAGACAGGGTGTCTGCCCCACGGACTAAAACTGGTAGTTGGTTCCACAGGAGAGGAGCCTGATAACTAAAAGATCTGCCTCCCATTCTACTTTTAGAAATTCTAGGAACCACTAGTAAACCTGCAGCTCTGTTAGGAACATAAGGAGCAATCAGATCTCTGATATCAGATGGAGCTTGGCCATTTAAGGCTTTATATGTGAGAAGGAGGATTTTAAATTTGATTCTGGATTTAAGAAGAAGCCAAAAAAGAGAAGCTATGATAGGAGAGATGTGATTTTCCTTTTTAATTTTCATCAGAACTCTGGCTGCAGCATTTTGGATCAGCTGAAGACTTTTAACTACAGTTTGTGGACTTCCTGATAGTAAAGAATTACAGTAGTCCAGCCTTGAAGTAACAAATGCATGGACTAGTTTCTCAGCATCACACCTGGACAGGAGATTTCTAATAGAGTTAAAAGTCTCAGAGAACACAAGCTTTTCCACCTCGCTATGATTTATAAAACAAAATGGAGTGATTGAAGTTTGTTAGTGGTCTAGTCAAAGTCTCCGTTGTAATCCCAGATGGTTACTCTTGGTGTGGCTGGTGAAACTGAACAAATGTTTTCTCTGAGGACCATGCTGATTCAGGTTTGTCAGATGTAAACATGAAAAAATAAAACTGGGCTTAATAAATTAACCTCTGCAAACTAAACTACGCCTGATTTCAGCTTTGATTCAGATTATCTCAAAGAGTCGTTCAGGTTGGTAGATATCAATAAATATCATCATAATGATAATAAAAATGAAATATTTAGGTTTATTACCTGCAAACATCTGTTTGTAATCTTCCCTGATTAATCCTGATATTAGCAGTAAGTCAGGCCCAGAGGTTCATGACCATGTATGGTCACAATCTGTCCCAAACATGTTCCTCATTTTCCCTCCCTTCACGTTTAGAGGCAGGGAGCCGAGGTTTTAACCAGAAACATCAAAACAAAGAAACATGTTGAAGGTCTTAGCTGAACAAAGTGTTACCAGTTTCCTCAGGACTGCAGATCGAAAAACCATCATTTCATCAGAATGTGTGCAACATCTGCTTCTCTGCAGAACATAAACCCACACACTCTCAGAAACCACACACCCATTAGTCAGACACACAGGTTCATTGATGGAAATCTTTCATGGTCGCCCCCCTTTAGACCATCGGTGTCTGATTGCATCTGTTTTAATTTCATGTGCCTTGATTCTAAATTTGCATGTTTTTCATCTTTGTTTGAAGACATTAGCCTTTGAAAGCAAATCATTAAACTATGTGATGCTTTTAAATCATCATTTCTGTCTTTGAGGGTAAAACCATGGAGACGTCCCCTGAAATGAGTTTTTATTCTAAAAAAGTAAGAGACTAACTGGTAATTTTTAAGGATCCCTAGTTTTTTAACTTTCAGCCCTTCTGAAGTTTTTACCTTTCTGGATTCATGGTCAGAATTAATAAAGGATTTTCTGTTGGATGTCCAGTTCTGGAAAGATAATGAATTGGTTTCTGTGTTTTCTTCCTGTAAATAATTTTACTACTGCTTTTAAAAAGTAGATCGCTGTGATAATAATCATTTATCAAGGACATTTAGTTAACGGCAGCTGTGAAACTGCACCCTGAATCTGTCATTAAGTGTTTGTGAGCCTTTAGCGTCTTTCTGAACCCATTTTCTCACATGTGTCTTCAGAGAATTGTCTTAATTGAGCCACAGAAATGTTTCTCTCAGTGAAATACCCTGTTTATATCTGCAGTTGAGAAAACAGTTAGAGAATGCAAACAGTTACACCTTAGATCTCCTTCTTCTTTGCTCCCTGCTGCTCTCCAGACAGTCATGCTAAATGTTCCTCTAATTTGCTCTTTATTGGTTATATGCAGATTTAATCTAATGGTTCTAGAATAGTGTGACCCCTGCTTAAGGTCATTACTAAGTATAATTTATGTTTGTTAAACTGCTTAAAAAAAGCATTATTTTTCTGTATATATCACCAATTCTACAGCCAGTTAAAGTCTGTTAACGAGCGAAATATTGTTCTATTATAAACATAATGATCACATCTACTTCATTCTATTGCGATTGTGTTTCTCTCACTTCTCCTCCCACACTCACCAACACAGTGTTCACAAGCTTACAAAGTTTTTAAATATATTTAATATATGGGTGAGTAGAACATGATGTAATAATGTAAAATCAAGGGCCCAATGTTAAAAAAAGCGTTCCCCTTTAATGTCCACAAATCAAGACAGAAATAATATTTTAGTACAAAGATTGATGTTTAAAAAGGAATCATAGAAGACCAGCCAAGGGCACATCAAGGAAACTGGGGAAATTGTGAATGGCTGCTACTGTAGATAATAAATCGTAACATCATAGTTACTTTGTGAAGTAACTAGTCGCATTTATTGAGCAGTAACTGAGGCCGTTTCTCAATTCACGAGAACGCGAGTACGTACTCGCGTTCTCGTCAAGTGCGTTCTTGGTGAGAACGCAGGAAGATCGGACTTGACGAGAACGCGAACACGCAAGCACGTATGTGTACTGGAACAGAAGCGTACTCGTGACGTCATCACATGCAACGTTCTTTAGCATTTCTTTAACAGTCAAAACTACTTATTCCCTACACAAAACATTTTGAAAACATTATTTTTAATTTCTAAAGCTTAAAAAACATAAAAAAAATTATCGAACCGTGGGTATAAAACTAGCAATGGCGGGCCGAATTAAAGCAAAAAACCGCTATCAGAACGAGCGGTAGTTCACACATAACTAGACTGAGAGAAGTGCACTACAGACTGGGGAACATTAGCCCTGGCTGCGGTTACCCTCGGAGGTCTGCTGGTCACTCTGGTCCGCTCAACGTCTGACTTTTTTTTTTTTTTTCGCACTAACTCTGTAAACAGGCCACACAGGGAGGCTTCAATGTATAATGTTATCGCCTCAAACGATTTCAAAACGTACTTTTGAAGAACAACAGCAGCAGAAAAGGGAATGTTTAACTTACCATTGTGAGCGCTGTCTCGAATCAAGCTGCGGCTGCGGGGCATTCTGGGGAAGCGGTCAGTCTGAAGAACGCACAAGTCTGCTCTGATGCATGCTCGATAAAGAGGGCGGGGCGAGAACAACATCCGGGGATTTGGTGCGTTCTCGATCTGGCGTTCTCGAGAATTGGAACGGTACTGCTGAGGCTGATGACGTGTCACGAGTACACGAGAACGCTCAAGAACGCATATTGAGAAATGGCCTGAGTTATTAACTAAGTTCCGGGGAGAATGGACTTGTATGTATAACCAGCATTCTAAAAAACAGCTTAAATTAGTTAGTTTGAGTTTTTCTGAAGACGTTTTTAAGACTGTTCTAA